TCCCAGTTCTTTTTTTTAAAACAAGTCTTTCGGGCGTAGTGGTGTGCTTTCCTCGTTTTTTTGCTGTGCCGATCAAAAATTTCCCAAGTTTTGCCTTTCGGCGAGTGTGGGGTTTCCCACTCCCCCCAAAAGGGCCCTCTATTTTTCCCTTTTCCTGGAGGGCTTTTGAAAACAGATGACCCATGGGTGACCGTGGGTGTGAAGCGGACCACCAACCGTCAGCTCTTTCTTTTCCATCGACCCTGGGGTGCCCCGGAACAAAAAAAAAGGTGATTTCCAAACGAACAGTGGACTTCTGTAATGATTAAAGCCTTTGTTTCGGCACTAAACCTCCCTAAAACCCCCCGGGTCATACTCATTAAATCATTGAGTATACACACGCGGGTGTTTTTTTTTTTTCAAGCCGGGCCCAAGCGCTTTGTCATGCCATCACCTCCCCCCCCTTTCATGCTGCGGGGTTTTTTCTTTGGAAAAGGGCCGCCGTTGGTTCTTGGGACTGTTCTGCCGATGAGCGTTGTGTAATGCCCATGCCTTCTTCTTCTGGCGTATAACGGATTCCGTCTGTATAGATTATTGCATCTGCTTCGTCTGAATTTTCACCGATGAGAGCGTTGACCTCTGCATTAACAGCCTCTCAGGCAGCTACATTCCGATATCGAAGGAAATGTCGACCCTGTCTACGACTGCTAGATCCTTGTTGGGAATCTGTTTCTTTGATGACCGATGAAAGGTATGGGCAGGTCTGGACTAGTATAAGGTCCTGACGCACCACGGCGTGTGATTCAGCGCCTTTGCCTCCTATCCTCAGACTCGATACCCCCTTGTTTTACCCATGTTTTGAAACGTGGTGCATACTTACACTAAAGACTGATCAAAGACTTACTCATATTCATGGTTTTCAAAGATGAGTTCACTCCCAAAGATTTTAAAATCTTCTCCCAGTTCTGCTGTACCATTGACAGGATGGTAAGGGAGTTTAATGCGCCCTTTCCCACCCTTCGCTCGACAGACTTTAACGGGTATATCGCCACAGTTTTCCTCAACGATCAGAGTTGTGTTGGGAAAATAGAATATTCCCAGGATGGTTGGCATCAACTAGGGGACTGTGGCTACATAAGGAGGATATAGACTGACATCAGTTTCTGGCATCTGAAATGGAATATGTCTAAAGTCCACAGATGCTGAGTCGCTAGATATCGAAGGCCTTCTCGAGGCCCTTCTCGTGTCTGTTACCAGTTCGTTCTCATGAATGTCTCTGAGCTTTGGGTTGGAAAGGCGGACGTAGAAATATTCATCTTCATTAATTCTATTACCAGATTTCAAAGCAATGTTGATCTGTGCTTTCGTCTGCAAAGGTTTGAAAATTATACTGCCTCTTGCAGCAGCGTAATTTAGAATATTTTTAGCTGTGCCATCTTCTGTATAGTAGTCTACGCGACATACCTTGTTAATGTCCCCGTTCTTTCTTAGAACCATTAATCGTACCACGCCAGCGTCCTCCATCGCAGAATAAGTGTCCGATTCAAAGAACACTTTGGTCACGTTAAAATCATACTCTTCTTCAGTTATTGCCGTGCAGCTTTCTGTTTCCTTCATAATCTGAGGCCAGCTGTTTATTTTCTTTGCGGCTCTATAAAAAGCTTTAGACTTTGGCTCTTTATTCATTATTTGTTTTTTGGCCATTGCCGCGACGGCTGTCAAACTTAGGTGTGGATTAGTTTCTCGTAGTTTGCTTATCATCAAAGCGATTTCATTTCGCTGTTGCTCAGCAGCTAGTAATAAATTGCTGTTCTTTACTTCTACATTCCCCTCCCTTGAGTCAGTCACGCTTTCCATAGACTTTCCTTGTGACTCTATGGTAACTTCCTCACTCCGACAATATTGTCGATCCATGCATTTGCCGACTTCCACATTCTTATCAGCCAGATATGCGGTATACACGCTTCCTGGGAAAAACAAACAAGTTAGCACAGCCTCCCAGATCTCGATAACTCCTTTACTTATAACAAACAAAATTATGAAGAGCCATATGTATGCGAAAACACTCCATGCAGCAGTCACGAGAAATACACGTCCTTTTGTTATTTTTTGCGCTTTATCAACTGGAACAGCGAACATACAAATTGCAGAAATTATGAACAAATTGTATGCAGCGCTACCAATAATGGCAGATGGGCCAAGACTCCCTACTTGAAAATCATTACTATACACTTCTACTATTGTCAGTAATATTTCTGAAGCAGAAGAACCGAGCGCCACTATGGTTACATTTGCCAAAGTTTCGCTCCACAACCGATCAGTTACATAAACAATGGTACCATCCGATATCATGACAGCGATTTGTTTCTTTTTTGAGACAATGACATCAACTGCCGTCATCAAACGTTCTGTAATAACCGACAGACCAATGAACAGATAAATCAAAGCTATTACGTATAGGATCGCTCTAAAGTATCTATCGTCGTCTGTTGTATCAAGTTCCAGCCTCCACATAGGGACCAGCAGATTTTCTTTACATAAACCACGAATGGTGGGGCACGAATCATGCTTCTGGTCCTCGTCTGGGTTTAGGTCGATGTAGTTATCAGTGTCTCTAGGTGTCGTTGAAGTTTCGTTAGCTTCTCCAGAAACGTTTATACTCAGTACTGTCCCCGGTGATCCGGAAATGTTTATACCTAGTATTATGTCCATGGCTTTGGGTGAAAAAAAGATGCCTGGAAAGTCAAAACCGGAGCCCTGGTTTGGAATAGAAAATGCATTTGTCATATTTTATTTTCATACGCAGGAGCATTAGAATGTAGTTACTGTAGTTATTAAAGCATCTAGTTAGAATGCAGAAAGATCAAATACCATCAAAAGCACTACATCTCAGAAGATCAACTACAAGAGCAAGAGGATGGTCACGAAAACACAAATCGACAACATTAAAGACACTCCACACCTTAACGACATGACAGTAGCCAGTGGCAGCCAGTGAGCACTGGATCGCAAACTATTTATCCCCACGTCGCTTAAGGGCAGAAGTGGTTTATGATGATGGAAACTATAGAAAGTAAAGGAGCTGTTTTGCGCCAGTGACGCTTCGGGTATGTGGTGCTAGAGCCATATTTATATCAATCAATCCGTGTCCCATGGGCGGCGTGGTCAAATTGTGTCAACCGCTTTTACTTCCCATGACATTTTATGGTACCTTTTTTATGGTTAGGTCGTTATATTAGTCACGGTCACTTATACATAAAATCGAACCCGCTGAGGATTCCAACACCCTACTTTCGGACTGGCAAGCAATTGTCTATCCACTGCAGTTATGACATGTGAAAAATGTTAACTTCCCTCAGATTTTACTCCACATTTCATTGTACTACAGTTTGCCCTCTTCGGGATTACATCGACGCTATACAGTACAAAGAGGAAATGCGCGGAGAGCACAAGGTAGACCAAGAACATATGGAAAGATAACTGAGAAACTCTTTAAAAAGAACACGGGTGAAGGGACCAGAAGAGCAAAAAAAACTCAGAGCCTTATATCTCCCTTGACCCCCGAAGCGGTAAGTTGCCATGAGTTGAGTCAAGAATTGACATCACAGCACTCGGGGCATTACTAATATCAGTTCCAATACTGATGGTACCGGTCACAATCTGGTTAAAAGTCCGTCTGGCCTTTCCTCTGAATGTAGTGAGCCGGCCAGACCCTCTGGTTTCACCCAGATGCCTCATTCTCTCCAGGCTATAATAATCTTTTTTTCCTACTGATTCAGTTGCTTGTTCCCGAAGGCCTTGACCACATCTGCCTTGTCATGTATCGATCCACCACCCAGCCGTAAAAGGAAGTGAAGTAGAAAAAATACGTAGCATTGCCGTGAGTAGAATTAACACATCAGGGATGGGAGTCCTACGTGAAGGAATATTGGTAAGCTCCGATCAACAGTGAGATTGCATTGGGACCTCCGACGCTACAAAGTAACCTGAAATCCGGAGCAACAGCTTGTTTTCCATTAGAATGCCAACCAGCCAAACCTAGGACATGGATATCTCTACTACATATAGAGAGCATGCCTGTAGCACATATTCAGTAATTCTGCAGTGGTTGTGGGCGAAGATGAGCTCCTGAGCATACTGAGAGATTAACACCAGGTGACTCGAACAGCCATTTATTGGATGAGAATCACCCAGGTACAAATCCCAGAAACCCGTTCATCCGCATGTCAATTTATATTGGGAAAATCCGTTGGTTACAAGGTAACACATAGTTTAAATGGTGTAGGTATTTTTACTACAAAAATGAAAGGCGTACTTCTCAGTTTTAACCAAAAAGTTCCCCGTGTGCATTCCGGGAACCCACTGAGGGGAAAATAAGAACAGACCAACTGCCTGCCCAAAAGCATGTCGTAAGAGTCAACTAATTGGGAGCTTCCTTCGAAGTCAGAGTGCATCTGCCTGAAAGGCAAGGAACCAACGTCTGCATGCAAATAGCTCAGACCTGTGAAACGGATGTACACGCAACACTCAGTTTCTGGAACAGGACTAGAGTCTAGAAGTGGACGAAAAACGTGAACTTTTGCGCCGGAGTTTACAGCCGGCGAACGCGAAGAAGACGTAACCAAAAAGTCTTCAACTGCTACTAGTAAAATAGCTTTCCTTTTTTTTTTTACGCATCACTTTGCACTCCTGTAATAGGCATTTTTCACGATTACCAGCACCTTTGTTAAACACTTTGTGGTGATCCTAGACGTCTTTGTGTCCAGGCGCTGACTTCTAACTACCACCACCACCACAACCAATGCAGCTGCTACTACGAATTCGTGGACTGTATTCAGCGCTGCTGTAACAGACATTATTCACGAGTACCAGCACCTTTGATAGACACTTTGTGGCAAGTACCAGCACCTTTGATAGACACTTTGTGGTAAGTACCAGCACCTTTGATAGACACTTTGTGGTAAGTACCAGCACCTTTGATAGACACTTTGTGGTGAGTACCTGCATCTTTGATAAACACTTTGTGGTAAGTACCAGCACCTTTGATAGACACTTTGTGGTGAGTACCTGCGCCTTTGATAGACACGTTGTGGTAAGCACCAGCACCTTTGATAAACACTTTGTGGTATTAGCGCTTTGTTATCTAGAGAGGGGGGAAAACAAGGCACTAACTACTACTGATACTACCACTGCTGCTGCTTCTGCTACTACTACTACGAACTCGTTGATTGTATTTCATTTGGTATTTGCAAACCATTATAATTCGGTACTACGTCCGTACTGCAGATGCGAGTTAGCACTAGTTAATGAAAGGTCTATCTTCCATCTGGGACCAAAGACAGTGATGAGGGAGCGGAGAAGGAGAGACAAATCAGAAAATAATTATACGTAATGGTTAATTTATTATAAATAGATAATTGTACCTTACTAAAAACGCGATAAGCGAAACCTAATCCATCCAATTAACGATATACAGCCTCCATGATAAACTAACAAGAACGGAATGTTTTGTATTGTTTGTTCAGTTTATTTATTTATATATTTTTTTATTCGCTGCATGTCAGGACTGCATATATTCTAGTTTAGAGAGTTCTTCACATGTATTCGCATTTCCACCAATGAGGTGTTCTGATGGCTCCTCCGCGTCAGCATTCGGAGCCCTTAAGCTTCATTGCTGCAGATTATCACCCTATTATGTGGTCATACATATATTCCATCTTGCCGTCCTTTTAAGGATGCAATTTTTCGTTATTTGAAGCCCTACTCTGGCTCATGCCAGGGGCCGCAATATAGCCCGGCCATAAATATGGCTGAACGCGGTTTCTGGGACCTCTCCACGGTGATCCTCATCTACATGGTGGCACATTGTGTCATCGGGTGTTTATCGCTTGTGTGATGACCTGGTGGGGTAGAAAGTCAGTCAGATATCACCCGCCTACATTTATCTTTATGGCCGCCCTCTTTTTCCAGCTGGCGACCAACCTTTTGTAGATCTGCCTGGATTTTATCTCTCTATCATCGTCTTGGTCTACCTCGTGGTCTACAACAGTGTTCATCAACCTGTATAAACACGAGGCATACCAAAACAAGGGAGATTGTTTCGCGACCCATCTGACACACACACTCTCTCTTGTTGTATCCCACCAGGACATTACACAAGCGATTAACACCCGGTGACACAAAGTGCCACCATGCGAATGAGGATCACCAGTGGAGAGGTCCCGGAAACCCCTTTCAGCCGTTAGGCCATATTTATGGCCCGGCTATATTCAGGGCCCCGGCAAAAGTCAGGGTGGGGCTTCAAATAACGAAAAATTGCATCCAACATGGGGACGACTAAAATATAGACCCATCTGACAGCTAACCAAACACAGAAACAAATTTAGGTAGCAAAGTATTTGTTATACAATGTTAAGTTTCCTCTTATACAACATCTACTGCTGCGTATAGGTAGAGATTGCAGACAACAAGGCCGTTTGGTGTTTCAGCAGAAGTTTAAGCCTTAATTCTTGAAAATTCTGCTTGTGTAGATGCGGTAGTCTACACTGGCGGATCCGTCGTTCGACACGTACAAAGCTGATGTGCTTTTGCTGTTCTGGTTGGTGGGGAAACTGTAAAGAAAGAGAGCGGAGCTTTTGTCTCAACTACAAGTAGTCTGACTATGTAGGTGACTGCGGTAACAAAAGCAATTATGTGGCCAGAGACAGCATTTTTAGCGCGAGTGCTTGCTAAGTTATTTCACGAGCGTGCTTAAAAAGATAGGATAGAGTCGAAGAAAATGGTTGGAGTCTCTAAGCAAATCTCGTCTGAAAGGAATTAGTTTCATTTTTGTGCCAGGACACTGTGGTTAGAGGGAATGAAGAAGCGGCTTGACTTGCTAGTAGGGCCACAATTGGTACAGGAAATGAAATGGACCGGGTAGATTTTCTGAATGTCCTGAAGAAGGCAGGACGAGAAGATGATTCAAGAGAAACGGCAACATTCAAAAGACTATAAGAACTTAAGGTGTCGCCAAAACGTGAACACTATATAGGTTGCCACAGAAGAATAGTAAACTTACACAGAAATGGTGTTATCATTCGCCATATGCTGAGGAATGTACTGAAGAGGGGATAGAAGCGCTTATGGGCTCGTCCGATGTGCAATGAGGATCAAATGTTGATTACCTAACTAAAGAATGGAAAATCTGATGAATATGGTTGGAGCGTTGTTTCTGATAGAGAAGCGATGCAGTGGTATCTATTCGGATGCTCTTTTTGGTTTTTATAACTGACATGGTATATTTAGTCTTTTCACTAAACAGGAAGTCAAAGAAACGCAAAACAATTTAAATAGCTCTGTAACAGCGAGGAACATTTTATATATAAACTACTAAAAACGGCGCGAAGGAACAGAAGGAGCCAGGGCCACAACACCACTCCACACAGAAATGTACAAGACAGGCCAAATAGACATGATAACCGCCAGGTCTGAAAAACAGCACCAGACCCACCAATACCCGTTCCAGGCCGCCTCAGGAAAATTGCTAGTCCTGAGAAGGACTAGCAGACTCCCCTCTCAAAACGCAGGAGACAGGCAGACCCGAAAAGCCAGACAGCTTAGATGCCAGCTCACAGACCGGAGGTACCAGCAGAAGACGCCCTATGCAGAAAATGCCAGCACTGACCCACAGCAATACCCCCCCCCCCCCCCACCAAAAATGGCAGTCCTTTTCAGGGCTTCCAGATCCACTCCCAAAAACTGGAAACAGACTATCAAAAACCCGCCAGGCCAGACCACGCCGACAT